ATATATTCTCCATGCTATAGATTAAATAGCAGAGTAGAATCGGCTCTATAGCCTTGGGTCAGTCAAGAAAGATAATGCTAGACCAAAGTGAAACCAACGGAAAACTATTCCAGTATACTTCCTAAGAACCCATGGCAATTCACAGGTAATAAATAATAGGATACTGTGGAGAGCCAGATCGATTAAATCCAGAATGAACATAGCAATTAAAAATGAAATTGATCATACATATTAGCAGTTCTTTGTTGATACCGATATCTTTCACATTACATACATATCTTTCAAACCTTGTTACTCGGAAAGAAAAAATAGCAAAAACAACAACAACAACAATATTAATCGTTATTGAACACCGAAAAATGAAAATGAATGTCAAATAATTGATGCCATCATACCAGCAGTCGACAATAAAACAGCAAAGCAAATAGAAAAGGTAGCAGATATTTTTACCTGAAGGTTGTCATTGCCAGATTCTTGAAAATGTCGGAGAAAAAAAAAATTAAATTAATCCTAGCAGTGATTTGCCAATGAAGTTTAAGGAAGATATTGACCAAAATGGTGTAAAATACACATTGAGAAAGCTGTAAAATTCTACCATATAGCAGTATACATCGAAAAGTAGTGTCTGTTTGACGTCTATGTTGTGACTTGACAGGCATTATCTTATATGGTACTCAAAACATCTACACAACAACATTATCATGATGCATTCAAAATAAATAAAGAAGAAGAAGATATGAAAAGTGTCGAATCGACAAAATTCCAAACGGACCTCAAGAAGTTTTACAGGGAAATTAGAAAAGCAGTTAAAGAAATAATTCTATTGAAGAAGTGCACAAATTTTGGGAGAAAATTTGGACCAACTGAAAGAAATATAATCTCAATGCAGAGTGGATCAAACGAAAACAAGAAAAAATGTAGGATAAAGCTGTGCAAGAATGAAAAAATATAACTAAGCAAAAATGTTAGGCAAAATCCTCAAAATGGAAATACCCAGGAAATGACAAGGTACTCAACTTTTGGCTCTATCATCTGGCATTAAACAATAAAACTCTTGCGCAAACTTTATCAATACTAATCCCAATGAAATTCCGAAATGGATCACTGAAGATATTATATATCTGCTACCAAAAACAGGTGAAACGGATAATCAAAAAGATTATAGGCCAATAACATGTCTGTCCACCGCATATAAATTGATCACGTCTGTCCTGACGAAATGTATTTACTCTTTTCTGGATTAAAACAACATTCTTCCATTGTCCCATTATACCTAAATCACACCAAAGTCACTGCCACTTCCAATTGTTTGAATACCCGACGAGGAATCTTTGAAGAAGACTACCTGTCGTATGAGCTAAACAGTAATAACTATGGATACAAAGTAAAAAAGAAAGTGTTTAATCACATGCCTGATATCAAACTCTTTTCCAAGGAGGACAATGAGTTGAACAGTATCCTCAATACTGTAAAATGTTTCAAAGATGATATCGGTATAGATTTCGGTTTAGATAAATATGCAAAAATAATATTCAAAAAAGGGAGAATGAGAGAAACATACTCAACAGATCTAGATTCTGTCACAAAGATTAGGGAACTGAAACAAGAAGAAGCCTATAAATACATAGAGGTCATCGAATGAGATGTATTACAGCATACGCAAATGAATGAGAAAGTGCGAATATAATACTACAAGTGCGTGCGTCTAGTGTTAAATACTGAGTTGAATTCACAAAACAGAATATCAGACATAAACACATTGGTTATCCCTATGGTGCAACATCATTAGTTGGACCATAGCTGACATTAAGCGAAAGGATTTTAAAACGAGAAAGCTTCTCACTTGCTGCTACATGCATCATCGTAAGGCTGATCGTCTATATGTGTCCAGATCCAAAGAATCAGAGGATCAGTTCAACTAGAACTGTCTTACAAAACCACAACAATCGGTCTACAAAGCTACCTGGAAACTGCAGAAGTCTGGATGATGATCTGTGTCAAAGAACATGAAAGAAATAAGAAACTTTATTCAGTAATAAAGGAAGCAAACTAATGGAAAGTTGGTGAAGAAAAGCACCTACTTCAGAAGCAAATAATCTAAAAATGAAAGCAAAAGCAAATGATGCCTCTTCATGGTCAATACTTTGTCCCTACCAAACAAGCTGGTGCACACAAGCCCCGTTCCTATCAGTGGTTACGTTGTGCAAGGTTAAAAGTTGAAACCGAAGTTGTTGTCTCGACCAATGCTTGATAACTAAAAATTACCAAGTACACATACTGAAAAAATCTTTTAACCCGGAATGCAGATTCTGTGATAAATATTCAGAAACAATTGACCATTCTGTATCAGGTTTCACAGTGTTAGCACCTACTGAATATAAAAATTCAGCATGATAGAGTGGGCCAATATATGCAATGGAAAATACGCAACCTTTACAGAAAGGAAACCGCAAGAAACTGGTATGAACATCACCCAGATCCGATTACATAGATACGACCTGTAACAAAATAGGACTTTACAATACACACAGACAGAACAATCAAAGTTAATTGCCAGGATATCGTCATCAAAAACCACAAAAACAGAATGTGCTTTCTTATTTCAGGCTGTAATTTATCTTTGAAGATCTTCAAAAAAATTATCAAAATACAAAGATCTTGAAATGGAAATCTCAAAAATGTGGCGCATCAGGATATCAATAATTCCAATTGTAGTTGGAGTCCTCGGTTTGATTGGAAAAGGTTCCGGTAGACTCATTGACGGGATTCCTGGTAGCCCATTTTTAAAGAAATACAAAAATTGTACTCATAAGTGCAACTCACACATTACGAAGAGCTTATCTATGTAAAATGTGTGTGATCTTAGTTTATTTTTGTTTTGTTTTTTGTTTTTTGTTTTTTATTTTTACAAAAATTCACTGTGGAAAAGATCATGAAGCTAATTCTAACCTTAAGTCTCTGGTTGAGATCCCGAAGGAAATGTGTATACAACAGAAATAATAATAATAATAATAATAATAATAATAATAATAATAATAATAATTCCTAAGCGGACATTATTGTTTTAGGAAAAGATTTTGAATAATGCATTTGTCGATTAACGAACTCTCTGATCTTTTTCGACCTTTGCAATTCCATTGACCATGTAAATTTCCAGTAATAATTAATCAATTAATTTTTCGCCGCGTAAAGCACGCAAGAAAACTCATAAACAAGGAAAACAATAAAAAACTGTCTATATTTCCGAGCTGAGGTATACTATTTACATTATACGGACTATTCTCCCCATCTTTGTTGCCATATTTATCACAACGTTTCGGCTGTTGTACGCTGCAGCCTTCTTCCTCAAGGACACACGGCACAGTGGATAAAGGCGTTACTTAGATCCAGTGACAGGACCCCAAGAGTTCAATACCTGTTCAAGGAGGTGGAGAACTTCGAAAGGAGAATTAACAGGAGATAACTGATAACTGACATCAATTAGACATGGCACGTGGAACTAGAACAGTCTACACCAGTGAGTGAAATAAAGGGTTCAGTTCGACATTCCAACCATCTGAAGAAGGCCGGAGCGTACAACGGCCGAAACGTTGTGATAAATATGGCAACAAGGATGAGGATAATAGTAAATAGTGAATAAAAAAATCATCCCTTACTTTAAGAGGAACTTATAGTTAAATAAAGAAAATAAAAGATATTGGCAAGCACTGATAGTATTATCATAACACAAGGTTCAATATTTACAAAAAGTAACATAGCAAAGGAGTTAAGCACGCAAATATGGTTATGAGTGACAAATTTATTGGACTTTTATTTGAAGAAAACTGGAGAATGTACCGATTGAAATGCACAGAAATATCTTCTATCTTTTCAAATGTTATCTCTGTTGTATAAGTCTTTGCATTGCCATGATGGCCGAGTATACCTTTACAATTGACGTCTTATTTTTCTCCTTGTCCACGTCACTTTATATTCCTTTAAAATATCTATTTTTCATTACCAATCACTTTTCTGTTCAAAATTGCCGAGTTGCGTTCACGTGAATGCAAAGAAATGCATTTTAATTATCGCTAGTTGGCATCTGTCGAATCATGGGGAACCTATTTTCCAAGTTTGAACCTCTTTCCAAGTTGTTAGAGATCGTTGGATAGCTTGAATTTGAGCCAATCCTTTAACCGTAACAGTTCTATTGGATTTAAACAAAAGTCGGACATTATTAAAAACTAACTGTTCGGGATGCATATGAAGTTGCTTGTGATGTCATCAGCGGCAATTTCTTTTTATATGAAGAATCTATCTCCTAAATATTAGTAATATTTCGAATTGCTTCCGTAGCTTTTCTTTTCTCTTTCTTCCGGAGCACAAGAATTTTTAGACAATTTACTAACTATCTTTATTGAATATGGAATTCACAGCTAATGGTTATGTGTGTGTGTGTGTGTGTGTGTGTGTGTGTGTGTGTGTGTGTGTGTGTGTGTGTGTGTGTGTGTGTGTGTCCTAAAATTGTAAACGACTATTTTCAAAATACACTCGTATTTTTTAAATAGTCATATATTTGAAATTATTTAGCTAATGGAGAACGATCAAAAAGCCTTTCATATTATAAAAAAAATGACACACTTATAAATGCGCACACATACAGATGCATATTTTCCTTTATCTATATTAAAATTATCAAATTAAATCCCAAAATACATAAAAATCGGTTCACCATGTTAACAAACAATTCCTCTTATAATGGTTCAATTAGAATAGTACATTAATTATTTGCTTATAATGGTTCAATTAGAATAGTACATTAATCTTCTTCTTAGTCACTGAAAAATGATCAAGTATTTCTGTTATATTAAATCTGACCAAATTAAATCTAATATCAGCTCTGAATTTGTCTTATTCTTATAGAGATATTTTCCCTTCGGTTTCTGACATGATACAAATTTATTCATTTTTTTAAATTTTTCCAACATATACTCTTATATATTTCCTGTTGACTTTTGCAGGTGGCCATTCTGACACGAGCTAAAAAACAATATTGCGGTGGGACTCTTATCTCACCACAATGGGTTCTAACAGCAGCACATTGCGTACGAAAACGCGGCCGGAAACGGAAGGTAATAGTGCGCATGGGTGAACACGATCTTCATTCACGGAGCGGCAACGAGATCACGCTGGAATTGGAGAAAGATTTCCCTCACCCAAAATTTGATTTTCACACAATATCAAATGACATTGCACTTCTGAAACTGAAACGCCCAGTGCGCCGAAGCTTCAACGTTGGATTCGCTTGTCTACCCACAGAAACGAACGAACTCCACGCAGGAACAATATGCAATATTATTGGTTGGGGAAAAGTAGATGGATCGCATCAGGACGGTGCCAAAATCTTGCGCGAAGCTGAGGTGCCGGTGGTAGACCAGGGAAAATGTCAGAAAGCATTCAAATACAAGATTACGAACAATCAGATCTGCGCGGGCTTTAAAGGTGGTGGTGTTGATTCGTGTGGGGGCGACAGCGGGGGACCCCTCATCTGTGCTAATCATCCAAATAGGACAACGCAGTGGTACGTGTATGGCGTGACCAGCTATGGTGAAGGCTGTGGACAAAAAAGCAAATATGGCATTTATACAGATGTAAGAAAATATTTAAAATGGATATACAGAACAATTGGTAGGAACTGCTCTTGTTCAAAAAAATGATGGCAGTGATCTATAGGTGCATATATTCAGACACATATCGGTACTCTCTCAGAGACTCAAAAAACAAAAATGGAATTCTACTAATACTACTACTATTACTGATAATAATAATAATAATAATAATAATAATAATAATAATAATAATAATAATAAGGACGATTAATAGACACCTATGTACATTTGTCATGTGTACCTTCAGTATAAAATACACCTATACATCTAAATTAAGGAATAATTTATGTTATGTAAATATATCACACTTTTTTATTATATTGTGTGATATATCTACATTATAAATTGCATAATTTACTTTATATTATAATTTTCCATGTATAAAAATTATATTTTAGGTGATATACCTTATGTCGGTGTACAAACTATATTACATATTCTCATTAGAGTCCATATACTATTCCGTATGTATTATACGAACACATACGCGCAGACATATATAGTATCTATATATACGTTGCATAAGAATATTATACATGTATGTACTAGTTTGTATATGTATATAGATGTATCTAATTTACGTATTATGTGTAAGATAATGCAATATACGTAATACAACTATGTACATATATAATGTTCCTGTTATGGTATCTATGTACACGCAGATAAATGTATAAAGATACATATATCGACCAGACAAAGAAGGGAACAATTTGTCAGAGAAATCAAACAAGTTAGAAAGTTATGTTCGATGATATTAAATAAATAGGGCGCATTTATAGTGTGAAAATGAAGGATTTTAAATGCCTACTATGATTTATTTTTCCTGCTCATCTCACACTTTATTTCTTTGATTTTTTTTTTTTTTGCTTTTCATAGGGCAAACCGAAACGCTGTCAGTGTTTTAGATGCAGACTTTTCATTTTCTCCATCTTTATTTATGCACTAATGTTCTCTCTCTCTCTCTCTCTCTCTCTCTCTCTCTCACTCACTCACACACACACACACACACACATACACACACATACACACTTATTACCTCACACACGCACATCAATGACTTTCTACCTATTTGTGTGCGTGTGGGACTTACATTTATTTGGTCATATTCATCACACAAATGGAGACATGAATAAAAATTTATCTAAGAGTAAAAGTGACTATCACAACACAGTCAACAATAATAAGAGATATGTTGAAGATAATGTGGATAAACATACAGAAATATCTATCTTGATTAGTTTCATTTCTTGTCTTGGTTCAAACAAGATCACATGGTTTTATATAAATTGTTTATATATATATATATATTGGTATGCGGACGATGGTAAAAGCATTCTGACCCAGCTTCGGATCACAACATAGTCGATTTATTAAAAAGCTCACCTCTTGATAATATCAGCATGGAGAGATTATTCCAGCGTGTGGCACCGTTGAGAAGTACCAGTCAATCATACTCGGAGTTGATCCAAGTTTTGTGAGTGAACATGAGTTGACTAAAATGTTCCGGGAGCCGTCGGTGGCCGTGTTAGCAGGAAGTCACAAATCATCGTGAACAGACCAAGGATTTGAGCAGACTGGCATTATTCAACTACTAATCACGCCAGATTATGGACTCTCTTCCAGAAATTGTAACATCTACTCAACATAGTTTGGCTTTGTAAATGTTCCTGTGCAAGCGTCTGCTATATAGCCAACCTAGCAGACGAAAAACAAACTGCCAGTCATTATATAATGGCTGACAGCTTGTTATAAGCGTATGAACGGATAGGGTTGTCAGGATATGCGTAAAATATGCCATATAAAGTTTACTGAATTCGAAAGTTTTTAGCATATGAAAAATAGTTTTCCTTTTATTTTAAAATGAAAACAACGTTAACAATGTATTCAGTGGAAAAAGATCAATTTGTGGTAACACTTTTACCGCCGATATTTCATTTTAGATGCTATAGTTATCTGAATTTATCATAACTTACGCTCATCTCTTTATCCCTATTTAAATTTTCTGGACAAACTTGGATTCAATCACATTGCAGCTACATTTGAGTTCACTTTTGCTTATAAACTGTATTTTTGTATGGATCTGTGTATTTATTTGATAACTGCTTCCAGTAGACATTAACGAGAAGCGTGCAAATTTTTATTTTGATTTAAAACTTCAAATGGTGACTTATGCCAAGTCATGACATTCCTGATAATATAACGTTTTGAAATAATTTTAGTATGTTATCTTTGTATATATTAATATATGCATAACATATAAAATTACATAAGATATCTGAATGTATAATGCAACATCCATATAACATTTGCATTCTTCTAAAAAAAAATTATAACGCAACTGAAAAATTAAATCGATAAATTCAAATTTAAGAAACCATACACAAATTTTTATTAAATTATTTAATTTTAGATGAAATCAAAGTTACAATGGAGGATATGGGTGTTTATGCATTGTTATATACATGTTTTACATAAAAGATACTACGGTCATAATTGATTATTAAATTTGGTTCCCAATAACTGTGTCACCATTTTGAAAAATCGCAAGCAATTAAGCAAGTAGACACCACAAATCATTTAATAAGGCACCTCATTAAGTTCGTAGGTTAATGACGAAAAAAGCATTTATTTTGCACAAAAAATATTTATTTTACAATATAATATGTTTCCGACTTGATTTAATCACATACTACGATATGATACAATACAAATTCTCAATCAATTTTTAGCTAATACATACAAATCAAGCTACCTACATTGATACAGTTAAACGTTATCTTACCCTCCTCTCCATATAAATTACCACTTAACGTAATCCTGTACCTCGAGTGGCCCCCGGGCCTTGTACAGGGTGAAGTTTACTGTAAAAAGAAAGTAAGAAATTCGATTTGGAAAACTAGAAACTTAATGAAACCATCTTAAAACGCCATTCTTTTTACAAACACTGAGCTTAAAAGGTTTTTTTTTTAATTCTCTGCAATTCCGATGTCATATTTTAAATAGATTAATTGTAGTTCATACTTTGCATATTGTATGTTACATTTCTAATCTTAATAAGAACATCATTATTTGAAGATGTTTCAGGCAAATAATGAGATCCATCATCAAATGAATGAAGTAAAATGTTTATTTCAATAGCATATACTCTGATATATCGATGTACGTACATATATACGAGGGAGTCCGATACACATCCAAAAATTAGTATTCTCACCGAAATACTGATTTTAGGAAATGCGGCCAGACCAAGAACTTTTCAGTACTACTTTGTTTTACTGTTTTATATCATGGCATGTGTCATACCCGCCCCAATTTTTTTTTTTTTTGCCTTTAATCCCTTTTATGATATATCTTATCTTAGTCTGTTCTCTGATCCCTGCTGACTTTATTTTCTGTCTCTTCGAGTTATCCTTAGAATTGCCCTTTCCATTGATTTTTATGTCTTTTTTAGTTTGTTTTCAAGCGGCTTTTTTAATTCCTATGCTTCGCACCTGGATGTCATAGCTTGTGTTATAAATTAATTTTACTCTTTACGTTTTAAACATATTCGCAAGGGGGGTTCCATTATTTCTCTATTTGTATTAAATGCTTTCCATCTTATCGTTATGCTTCGTTTTATTTCATTTTTGTGGTCTATTATCACCTGCTGGAAGTATATATATATATTCTTAAATTCCAGTTCGTCATCTTCAATTTTTATGCACTTTTTAGAATATTACAATTGAATGTTATTTTTGTCTTATTTTGTTTTATTTTTAACCTGCATTGATACTTTCACTTCTTTTGGTCATGTTGCATTACTTGTGATTCGTCCGATAATTCAGTTGTTAATAAAATGTCGTAGCTGATTAAAATATTCTCCGTTGATATATACTCCCATCCAGTCCCAGTTTACATTTGCGATGACATTTTCAAGTTGAAGGGAAATTCTTTTCACTTGCCTCACTCCTTTTCCCATCTTTATCTTTGTATCTATGTAGTTGAATTATTACAGTACTGTTATCGTATATATTTTTAATAACTTTTATAAAGTCTTCGTTAAAACTGCTGCCTGTTTCATTAAGTCAAATGCTTTTACATAATCAACCAAAGCTAATGAAAGTGGCTTGTTATATACTGTTGTCTTTTGATCAATTGATCTATTGTTTGTAGATGGTCTATTGTTGTTTACCTCTCCTAAGATCTGCTAATTACCAAAACTGTTTGTTAGTCTGTAAGTGCTTTTCAGAATAATCTTTAGGTGTTTGCTAATAATATAGTCGGGCGATAGTTTATTATGTCCTTTTTAATAAAATATCATTACTATATCTAGACTGAAATTTCGAGTTACTTGCCTTTTCTAAAAGTATATGTAGTCGTGCTAATTCTTTATTAAATTAATCTTCTACATTTTCCCTAACGTCCATTACTATGACATCGTTTTCTGCGTTTCACATTTTGAAGCACAATTTTTATTTTTTCTGTTGTTACCCCCAATAACTAATATCTTTCGGTGGTATTTTTATTTTCGAAACATACGGATTTGCGTCGTAATTCTTAGTTATTTTTGACGTTTCCATACTACATTTAATAAATTTTTGCATGTTTTCATTGTTGTTTAACTTTGTGGTTGGGAACAAAGCACATTTCAAGTTACCTTTCCTGATTGTTTCTTCGGCTTTTTCTAAGGTTCTGTTCCTTTTTTGTATTTCCATTTTTGCCGCATAGTTTAAATCTGCATTTTCAGTTTTATCGCTTTTAGTATTTAAAACCATACATCTCTATTTATTGGCTTATCTCCCTTTTTTTTATTGATATTTCCAATTGGAAATATCAGCAATAGTGAAATCAATTTCATTTTTTGTTTCCTCGTTTCTGTCTATAACATTATTGACGTCGACGTAAAACATTTAAATTTCCTTACCAAATTTTATGAAGTTGACGGTGCATATATATATATATATATATATATATATATATATATATATATATATATATATATATATATATATATATATATATATATATATAAACCCAAAAAGAACGCTCTGAAAGAATTATCTCCTATTTTGCTAGCGATGATGTGCAGGTACGGCGTGTATTTGGCTTGTTACATATGGCTGCTGCTACTGCTCAAATGCATTAACCACTCCCTAACCGTGCTCATATTCATTCTTTGATCTCCGGAAACCTTCATCAACGTCAATAAATACCAATGTGTTCAACTATTTTCAAAAAAGGGAATTAAATGAAAGACTTATGTTTTGTACAAGCTTTCATATCAGACGATCATTTACCAGATAAGGTAAACGAAAATATTTGATTATTGTGGAGAAGATTTAATTTTACAACCTTGCCATTAACACCATCATCTGATATCGAAAATAGGAGGCATTTCTTTCAGAGTGTCTCTTGTGTATGTGTGTGCATATTTATGTGAATATGTGTTTGAGTATGCGTGTTTTAGTGTGTACGTTCTGAAAACTTATTCGAGTCCTTAACGTGAAATATTGTAATTTTGATTCCAATTTGTACACTTGACCCAATAGTACTAAAAATGTTCGTTAGAACTTTTTCAGTCCAACTGTTTCTTAAGAATTTCCTTGTTTCTTAAACTGTCACAATTTTTATTGTTTCATTCTTTTTTTTCTTTCATTCTAGCTATAATTACTTTACTAACGTGAAGTAATTATAGCTAGAGTGAAAGAAAAAAAGAATGTGAAGTATCCAAAGGAACATACAAGCATTTTCTACTTTAGTAAATGAATTCCAACGCTGCTATGTTTATTTTAATATAAACAATATTTAAACGACTTTACTCCAACCAGCATTCCTTATGTATCTATTTTTTTATGAAAAATACGCAAACCAAATAAATAAACAATATCAAGGAATAAACAAATAAATAAACACACACACACATATATATATATATATATATATATATATATATATATATATATATAT